GAGTGTCCACCAGGTGGGAGACCTGCATAAAAGCCGGGCAGTTAGCCCCAGTAAACGAGATTCTGCTTGACCCTCAAAACGAAGTGTCGTCTCGTTATTGGGGGGAATTGGATTGTATGCTGACTGCCAGGAGTGTAAACCTTTCATATGGTTTTTCCTGTTCGGCTGTTTCCAGTGTTCATGTGTTTCCTATTCGTGAGTTGGTGAATTTGTGTGTTTGCAGTTCGGGAGATTGGTGCTTGCAGTAGCTGCCTGTGCATCTGAGAGGGGAATATCGCCTAAACGGTTTTTAACCTCTTGTGGGCAAAACGGTCCGTTACACCCCGTGAGATACAAGTAGAACAATCTATAATTGGGCCCAGATGAATTACTTCCACAAACAGGCACGTCAGCTTTAAACAGAAGCAAAAAGGAAGCTTTTTGGAGCCATTGTTAGAAGCAGGTTACAGTCAGACAGAAGAAGAAATCAGGTTAATAATTGGGTAACAATGAGAAAGGCTGAGAGCAGGAAAGAGAAGCGGTTTGTTTTGCCAAACTATATGATTAATGAGTCCTTATCGTCTTGTTCTGCAACTCTCTGCACCTTTGTGTCTGTTCCAGGCCACTGCTAATTGCAAAGATACTAAGTGTTATGCAAAGGATACAAAACAAGAGTGTTTTATGCACATTTTACAAATTATCCCCCCTTAACAGGAGAGACTCAGGAATAAAGGCTGAGATAATGAGTTTAGCCCTTCCTATGCCACACACATATTAACACTTGTGAATGGGCGCATTTTATTTTGATTCCCAGCTCACTATCTCTCCAGGTAATTGAAGAGCGGTGCATTCTGCTGGTTTGTTAATAGATGTCTGGACACAGATAGAGGATCAGGCCCCACACTGTACATGTTTTAAGGCAATCTCCAACCTCTTCACCACTTGGCGTTTAACCCCTTAAGGACCAAACTCCTGGAATAAAAGGGAATCATGACATGTCACACATGTCATGTGTCCTTAAGGGGTTAAAGAGAATGTTTTATGCTGCATCCGCAGCATTGCTGGTTTAAACGGATTCCATACATTTGCATTAAATTAACAATGATTTCATTTTTTCAAAACTCTATCATGGGCAGCAATAGATTAACACGTGGACGTGATGATGCTGAACGCACACAAAACCGGAAAAAGACGGAACACCATCTTGAAGTATGAGGACGGACATAACGGTCATACAGAGGAAGTGGGGCAAGAGCGTTATGTTGTGGGTGGGTCTTTTCTGTATTGGGGGGTTGGAGATTAGAGATGGAAGATCTGACCTTTGCCTAGTAATAGAACAAACCGGAAATACCTTATTTGGTATTCCAATTACCACACCTGCCTTAAGGACCACTACAGGCACCCAGACCACATCAGCTCAATGACTGACAGCCGCTAGAGGCGCTTCCACTAGAGGGCCCTATTTCACCTTGCCCTGCAGAGCGTCTCAGAAGGAAGGATTTCCCAGGTAGGTGCTTTATTCTTACAAGAGCAGGCAGTAGGGTGCTAGGATAGAATCCACCAAAAATGGGCTACACGGACGTTGTGGCAGGATTATACAATGTGTGAATATATACCATAACTAAACCCCCATTATCTTAGCCTAAGCCAGGAGTGGTAAAAAAAACAAAAAACACACAACTATTACATTTTTAGAGCTTTTCAGTTACTGTTGAGTGAATAAGTGAGTGCGCTGGGTCTTGTATGTTGTATGAATTGGCCCAATAATGTATGCATGTTCAGGTGAGTGCAGCCTTCCAAGTTTCCTTTATTCCTTATATATAATATACACACACAAACAATACAGCTACACTCACCTGAACATTATACTTACATAATCTATGTCCATAACTAGCACCAGGCATCCCCTCATGTCCCCCTCCCGATTAATTTAAATAAATAAATTTTAAAAAATTAATTTACTGACCTTTTCTCCAGCTCGGAGTCTCCGTCAGCACTGCCGCACACTCAAGTGACAACCTGGAGGACTTCCTGCCAATATGACTGCCCAATCCAATTCTTCTCAAAGGAGCTTTAAGGACCATAGGCACATGTGTGGAGCTTGCCGCAATCTGCCAATGGATCTCTTGTCCTGGTTCTCCTATTCAGACAGCTCAGATGCCTGGCTAAACGCGCTTTCAAGCCTTCTAACTATTAAAATTTTGGTGGTTTATATTATTACAGGGACACTCCAGGCTCCCACACACGTTAGATGCACTGTGTAGGTTAGGTTACAGTTAGTTATACTGGGTGGGTTTATATTATTACAGGGACACTCCAGGCTCCCACACACCTTCAATGCACTGTGTAGGTTAGGTTACAGTTATACTGGGTGGGTTTATATTATTAAAGGGACACTCCAGGCTCCCACACACATTAGATGCACTGTGTAGGTTAGGTTACAGTTAGTTATACTGGGTGGGTTTATATTATTAAATGGACACTCCAGGCTCCCACACACGTAAGATGCACTGTGTAGGTTAGGTTCCAGTTATACTGGGTGGGTTTATATTATTAAAGGGACACTCCAGACTTCCACACACACGTTAGGTACACTGTGTAGGTTAGGTTACAGTTAGTTATACTGGGTGGGTTTATATTATTAAAGGGACACTCCAGACTCCCACACATGTTAGATGCACTGTGTAGGTTAGGTTACAGATAGTTATACTGGGTGGGTTTATATTATTAAAGGGACACTCCAGGCTCCCACACACGTTAGATGCACTGTGTAGGTTAGGTTACAGTTAGTTATACTGGGTGGGTTTATATTATTAAAGGGACACTCCAGGCTCCCACACACGTTAGATGCACTGTGTAGGTTAGGTTACAGTTAGTTATACTGGGTGGGTTTATATTATTAAAGGGACACTCCAGGCTCCCACACACGTTAGATGCACTGTGTAGGTTAGGTTACAGTTAGTTATACTGGGTGGGTTTATATTATTAAAGGGACACTCCAGGCTCCCACACACATTAGATGCACTGTGTAGGTTAGGTTACAGTTAGTTATACTGGGTGGGTTTATATTATTAAAGGGACACTCCAGGCTCCCACACACGTTAGATGCACTGTGTAGGTTAGGTTACAGTTAGTTATACTGGGTGGGTTTATATTATTAAAGGGACACTCCAGGCTCCCACACACGTTAGATGCACTGTGTAGGTTAGGTTACAGTTAGTTATACTGGGTGGGTTTATATTATTAAAGGGACACTCCAGGCTCCCACACACGTTAGATGCACTGTGTAGGTTAGGTTACAGTTAGTTATACTGGGTGGGTTTATATTATTAAAGGGACACTCCAGGCTCCCACACACGTTAGATGCACTGTGTAGGTTAGGTTACAGTTAGTTATACTGGGTGGGTTTATATTATTAAAGGGACACTCCAGGCTCCCACACACGTTAGGTGCACTGTGTAGGTTAGGTTACAGTTAGTTATACTGGGTGGGTTTATATTATTAAAGGGACACTCCAGGCTCCCACACACGTTAGATGCACTGTGTAGATTAGGTTACAGTTAGTTATACTGGGTGGGTTTATATTATTAAAGGGACACTCCAAGCTCCCACACACGTTAGATGCACTGTGTAGGTTAGGTTACAGTTATACTGGGTGGGTTTATATTATTAACAGGACACCCCAGGCTCACACACACGTTAGGTGCACTGTGTAGGTTAGGTTACAGTTAGTTATACTGGGTGGGTTTATATTATTAAAGGGACACTCCAGGCTCCCACACACGTTAGGTGCACTGTGTAGGTTAGGTTACAGTTAGTTATACTGGGTGGGTTTATACTATTACAGGGACACTCCAGGCTCCCACACACGTTAGATGCACTGTGTAGGTTAGGTTACAGTTAGTTATACTGGGTGGGTTTATATTATTAAAGGGACACTCCAGGCTCCCACACACGTTAGCTGCACTGTGTAGGTTAGGTTACAGTTAGTTATACTGGGTGGGTTTATATTATTAAAGGGACACTCCAGGCTCCCACACATGTTAGATGCACTGTGTAGGTTAGGTTACAGTTAGTTATACTGGGTGGGTTTATATTATTAAAGGGACACTCCAGGCTCCCACACACGTTAGGTGCACTGTGTAGGTTAGGTTACAGTTATACTGGGTGGGTTTATATTATTAAAGGGACACTCCAGGCTCCCACACACGTTAGGTCCACTGTGTTGGTTAGGTTACAGTTAGTTATACTGGTTGGGTTTATATTATTACAAGGACACTATAGGCTCCTACACACGTTAGGTTATATTAGTTATACTGGGTGGGGTTGAATCATTAAAGGGACACTCCAGGGTCCCACACACGTTAGGTATGCTGTGCAAGTCCGATTGCACTTAAATTAGCATTTTTCTTCTTTAAAGAGACACTACAGTCAACAAAACAACTTTCGCTGAATGAAGCAGTGTTGGTGTATAGATCATGCCTCTGACGTCTCACTGCTCAGTTCTCTGTCATTTAGGAGTTAAATCACTTGTGTTTCTGTTTATGCAGCCCTAGCCACACCTCCCCTGGCTGTGACTCTCACAGTCTCACTTTCAATCATATAGTAATTTGATTTAAAAATGTGTATTATCTGCTATTTACAGTGGAATTTGATCACATACAGGAAGCTCCTACAGGGTCTAGCAAACTTAACAAAGCAGGAGATATTACATTTTTAAATAAACAGAATAAAAGGAAGTATAAACATTAGATGGCGCTTTACAAGATGTGTTTAGAAAAGGTGTGTAAGTCACCTGCAGGGAGGTGTGGCTAGGGTGCAGCAACAAGGTGATTTAACTCCTAAATGGCTCCTACACACCAAAACTGCTTCACTAAGCTAAAGTTGTATTGGTGATTATAGTGTCCCTTTAAAATATAAATAAAAGCAAAAAGCTTAAATGTAATTACAATTACTTGCCATAAAGAACTGCTCATAAGACAAGTTCTGTGGTGCTGCAGAATTTTAGTAAGTATGATTGGCTGAGTCATTCCTAGTGGGAATCTTAAAAGTCTGGGAGCTTTTGCAAACACAGGAAAATCCAAAAGGATTTTTTTTTCCCTTTCTTTTTTAATAGAATTCAACATAGAGTAAAAATAGATGGAAATAGGCAAACTATTGTCCTGCTCCAGTATGTATTCCCCAAGCAGAGCAGATACTTGTAGAAGCGGATTGATTGCTTCTGAGAAGTGTTGGATTGGCAGAAAGCAACGACTGATGTGCATGCCCCCTATGTGTGAATTGGACAGTGGTCAATTATCAGCTGATGCAAGTGCACCGTCCAGGCAGTTGTCGTTAGATTCAATCCAGGGGCCAAACTAGTGAACACTGTCAATAGTATAGCGTCATGGAGAGAATATGGCACTGTGACTGTGCGCTCCATTTGCCAGAACCAATTCTAAACAAACTATCAAACCCAACGTGTGTGGTCTGTTAATTACTGGGTCATTCGCCTAAATGTAAAGCGTCAGCAAAGCAAAATGAATTTAAATGTTTTGGGCCAAAATAGCAGAACTGAAAACTGAGATTTTTCTGTTTTTTTTAAATTTAAAATTCACACTTTAGTGACAAGCCCATCCTATAAATTAGTGTGGCAAAGTATTTAAAAGTATTTTCACTATTATTCTGTTTATAATTCAGAACATCCCATAAACAACACGACTACATGCACAAGAACATTGCAGGACGTGTTTAAATAACAGATTTATTAAAATTATGTGTCCACATCGTCTGATGAGACAGATTGCAATTCCTGCAATGCAGCTATTTGGATAGATAGGAAAATAAAAGAAAATTAAAAAGAAAAGTGGGGAAAGGATTGCAAATTAGCATAGTAACAAACAGCAAGACTTGGGTCTTTGGAATTCAGAGAAAGGTGGAAAAACACTGTTTAGAAAGAAGATTCTTTGGCAGCTTATTGGCTGAGCTCACATGTAACAGATATTGCTCCACGTCCACGTTTACACTAAACTTTGACAAATTAGACCACATCTGGGTCTATTCATGGAGAACAGAACAAGCACGAGATATTGCCTACATGATATAAATATTCTTCCATTTTTACATTATATCACCAGTTTAAATATTTGTTTTTCTAAAGGGGAGGGCTGGTCTGTTTTGAGGTGTGATCAAACTGTAAGCAAGCTATAAATCAGATATTCTGCATTATTTCCCAAAAATAAGTGTCATTTATAGTATTTAAAAAAAAATAAAATAAAAAAAAAGTCTCTACTTCACACTGCTGCCTCAAAAATGAGGAGGGGAAGAAAAACAAAAATCATAGTCAATTCGATAAGATAAAGAATGTCACAATTTGCTAATTCTGTGAACTTTAGGTGGAAACAGGTGGCCTGGTGGAGTGACAGTGGCAGTAATACAGCTGGTTAAAGGGCACGGAGCACAAACTGCTATTTTAGTACAAACAGAAGTATATCAAATATTTTCATTCATTTCAGTCATTAAGACCTGGGAATTCATGTCCAGAAACAGATGCTGGACTGTTCGAGAGAATTAAACTCAACATCACAGCAAGCAGGCCACCTGTGCTTCTTAGTCATCGCTGTCACTCCCTGTCTCGCTGAGCTGCAAGTCATTTCCTGAAAGAGAGAACAAGTGTCACCACATAGAACACACAGCATAGTTAGCAACACTCAACAGTGTGACGGTCAGTTACAGGGAGACAACCTGAATCCAATTAGGTGGCTCATAATTACACAATCAAATATTAAAAGATACACACAACGAGAAAAAAAAATATAAATGAAATGTTCTAATTTAACATAAGGGGCCCTTGTCACCTACATGTGAGCATAACATGGCCACTTTACAACAGACCTGGTATGTGTATAATGTATAAAACACTTATAGTCCTTTTAAATACAATACCCCTGTCAAAAAAAAAAAAAAAAAAAAGTTTAAACAAATTGAAATATTTTATATAAATAGACACGACTTGTATAAGCCATGCATGCGCTCCTCTAAGTGGATTTAAATTGTATATAAAACATGCATCACATGCAGCAGCATAGAGACACAGCCCCGCTCTGGGGCTGCAGAGGTTGATAAGAGCAGATCCCCAGCTTCTGAACAAAACCTGATAACAGAGACGAACATTTAGAGGGATGTGTAAAAAAAAAAAAAAAAAAAAACACAAAAAGAATAAAAACAGAACCCCAAACAAATTAATTAGATATTATTTCTAAAACCCAGAATAGGGGCAAACATTGCGTTACTCATGCAGTGCCGCATCAGCTATAAAATGCAACTTATGAAAGGATGCACCAGAACATCTTCCATAAACAGGAAGAAAACCCAAAATAAAAAATAAATATAGACAGGCTATTGAATGCAAGTAATGTTAAACAGATAGCATGTTTTTTTTGCTCTCTCTCTCTCTTCCAGTGCTGCATTATGAGAGGCGCGGCGCTGTGACCTTGTGCACATCATCAATGCTAATCACTAAGAATCCCTGTAATGATACATTATTGAAACACCGATTACAATTTACACTGGTGGAGCTATGTAGACTTCTAAAATGGTACACAGAAAACTGGATGTAATGTATGAAACCCTTTGTGGTATACATTGCGTAGAATTGTCATCAGAAGCAGACACTCCACCTGTCTGCAGTCGTAGTGTGAGTGTACAGGAGGACTTTAGAGTACTCACTCAGTGTGCTCATCAACTGCCCACCGTTGTCCTGAGATTTGTTATGTAGGTTCTCCATGCTGGAGGTAAAATGATTCTGCTGTGGCAGTGACAATGAAGTGGAGTGGGACGACCTGTGCGTTTCGTCCTCCGAGTCACTGGAGCTGTCACCACTGCTTGAGGATGAAGAGCTTTTGGACTCAGACGAACTGTCAGAACTGCTCATTTGGTCGATCGCGGAGACTTCAGCCATCAACTCTAATAATAAGATGAACACAAAACAGAATAAACACTCCACACGCACAACTTTACCCATCACACAGGTCTTCAAAAGAATACATTACATTTTATTGAGCAAGGCAGATATATATTGTTAGATTTGTGGTCCAGGGTGCCCCAGTTTTAAGGCAGTGACATTACCCCTGCTCTAACCAGCTGATAAATTAAATTGGTACCGTGAATATACTATACAGCACACAGAGAGAAGGCGGAAAAAAAAAATCAATGGATTAAGCGACATAAACAACAGATCATTAACACAGCATAACCCAAAATATTAAAACTATCACAAAATCACAATAAAAAGCTTATAACATTCAAGGAGCAAGACTCCCAGTATACTCAGAGAGAGGAGATTTGGGTGTATACTGTTTAAAATGAAAAGAGGACTATTGTGCCTGAAAGGTAACCAGCTGTGACAAATAGGACATTATTTACAGTAATTACTTTGGAAATAAGAGAAATATCACAAAATGCAATCAAATGGATTCAATAAGTCAACATTAAAATATATTGATGGGAAAATTGCTACAAATCATTATAACACAACTAGTCACAATAGAATGGATTGAACAACAAAATAAAAACTGCAAAAAGGACCCCCCCACCCCCATCACAAGCTGAAGTAATGTTTGGCCAGTTCTTATACGCACCCCTCTCAATATCGTCCATGGGCAATGTGGGGGACATTTTCTCGGCAGGTGAAGAATTTTTGCCGCTAGTTGGTGTTTTACACGCACTGCGCATCTGCTGTTGTTGCTGCTCAATACGAGACTGGATCTTACTGCTCCCTTCTGCCCTGTTAGGGAGTAGAAATGGAAGGAAAAATTGAGACAAAGTCCAACAAACACGGCTCTGACAGCCCCACAGAGACCGGTCCCCATCATGGGACATCGGATCAGGCCCCAGTTTAACATTTGTACACATGTTTCCAAGAAGCAATGCTTATACCAATTTGTTACTCAGAAGAAAGGAATAGGTTCCATCTCAACTCATTTATTGAGATCAGAATAAGCAGTTAGAACTCAATTACATGTAACAACATTACCCAATACAGTCACCGGATTGGTGGATCTAGATAATATAACAGATACAGGAGACACTCAGCACGTTTAGAAATACCTGGTCTTTTTCACGGTTATATTACTGCTCAGTTTCTCCAAACGACACTCCCCTGTATCGTGATTTACTATCAGAATACATTCCCTAAGATACGGCCGCTTAGAACCTTTAAATACTGTGACCGGAGCAGTTGAGCCCTGTGGGAAGTAATAAAAATAATAATCAACGAAAACTAAGAAAGAGTTGTCCCCCTCTCCTCCATTTTTTAACAATCATATGTAAAACACTATTTATCTATCAATATAAAGCTTCACATGAACTAGAACATGTAAGAACTGTTTTTAGAAGAGTGATGGATTCACAGGGCAATTAGCAGAACATTATCTTATAATAAACAATAGAATATTATCATATAACAAGCTATATAATAGAACATAGACTACTACAATTTAATAAACCAGATAATACTACCAATTTGGGGGGCAAGGCCTGGCTGCCAGCATTGATGGCCGCACATTACTGTAGCTCCGTTGTTCTAGGCACATACCACTGCCTCACTGTTTGTGGCGGCATCACTATTCAAGTACCTGGTACAACCTTCTGCCCAGAAGCACATTGCCATGTAAACACACAGAGACCTTGCAGCTCAGTCCGGATGGCTCTATGGTTGGAAGAGACGTCCTCCTGGCTTGGTGCAGGCTGCATGCTAAGATACTCTACGGGTGCCCTGTAACCCCACCCTTTGGATTAGTAGGGGATATCCCAGTCCCCACCGAGGAAGTCTTATCTGAAGCTCGTGCTCTACCCAGCCACTCTCCTGTATGGACACTCCGACTCTACGTGGCTGACCTAAGAGGCTCCTGTAGCGGTGTTTCAGTCCAGTAGCTGAGAAGTTGCAGTGGAGCTGAGAAGAAGGATTCAATGCTGCTTTCGAAGCCATACTTTTGGCTCAGAATTAAGCAGTGAAACCATCAACTCATCCAAATGGCAGGTGGCGTCTGACAGCTGCTCTCCCTCTGGGCTGAGAACCTAAAACAGTGTCTTCCCTGTCTGCCCTCTACAACTAGAGAAGAAGGACTCAAGTGGAGTGGAAGGATCTGAGGGCATAAGGAGATGGTTCCGAGAGTGGCCCACAGCGACCATTTTACTCTTTTGGGGACATTGATGGATACCACTGTGCCTTTCTCACTGTACTTTCTAGAAGCCTCCAGTTCCCAAACAGCTGATGGAGTCTCGGACTTGTGTTTTGTGCATCTCCACTGACCATTTTTGGCAGTTTTGTGTTTTTTGGAACGCTTCCCAGGGAGAATGATCACGCATGTTTTGTTATGGTTTCTTATTTGTACCTCCCCCCCATTTTATCTTTCTTGCTTTGCAATAGAATCTTACACTAAAATTATAGCAAGGTACCATGTATCACTCATGGTCAGTCTAGTTTTATGCCAATAGACCATTTTTCTAAATACAGAAATATAATTTACACTTATTTATTCCTAATTTAGTTGCTTGCATGGTTTACAAGTCTAACTTATCCTGTCAATTCCTACTGACCATATCTCTACAATCAGGGAAGAGATCTCATCTTTCTTCTTCCCCTTACAATACTTCCCCTAACTCGACTCCCTCTGCTGTTCTATGTTCATTCGCACCCGCTACATTTGAAGAGGTTTCTGCTCTGCTCTAGTCCGCCCGCCCGCCCCACCACCTGCTCCCTAGATCCAATTCACTCGCATCTTATCCGTACTCTGTCTTCTTCTCCTTCTCCACCTCTCACTAAATTTCTCAATCTCTCTCTCTCCTCTGGTATATTTCCATCGAACTTCAAACATGCAACTGTAACCCCAATTCTAAAGAAGCCCAACCTTGACCCTAACAACCCATCCAACGACCGTCCTATCTTTGCATCCAAGATCCTTGAAAGAATTGTGTATGCGAGATTGACAGATTTCCTTGAGTCCAACTCTTTGCTAAACCCGCTTCAGTCTGGTTTCCACGCTAATTACTCTGTGGAAACGGCATTGACCAAAGTATCCAATGATCTACTTGTTGCAAAATCTCGTGGTCACTACTCTATCCTAATTCTCCTTGACCTGTCTGAGGATTTTGACACTGTTGATTATCAACAGCTTCTTCTCATCCTCCGCAATATCGGTCTACAAGACATTACTCTCTCCTGGTGCTCCTCCTACCTCTCCCAGCGCTCTTTCAGTGTTTTTTTCCCTCTGGCTCTGCCTCTTCTCCCCAACCCCTCTCTGTTGGCGTTCCCCAAGGTTCAGTCCTTGGTCCCCTACTGTTCTTCATTTATACTACCTCCCTTGGTAAACTCATTAGCTCCTTTGGTTTCCAATATCTTTTCTATGCAGATGACACGCAAATCTACCTGTCCTCTCCTGGTCCCTCTTGACTAGTGTCTCTGACTGCCTCTCTGCTGTTTCTAACTGGATGGCTGCCCACTTCCTTAAACTAAACTTGACCAAAACTGAAATTCTTGTCTTTCCTTCGTCAAGTGTAGTTACTCCTGTGTCTCCCTCCCTCCAAGTCAACGGTGCTACCATCAGCTCCACCACGCAGGCTCGCTGCCTAGATGTTCTCTTTGACTCCGACCTCTCCTTCAAGTCTCATGTTCAGTCTATCGCCAAATCCTGTCATTTCCATCTCAAAAACATTGCGCGCATCCGCCCCTACTTAACGCCAGATGCGACTAAGGTGCTGGTCCATTCCACTGTCCTTTCTCGCCTTGACTACTGTAATCCGCTTCTCAGTGGTCTTACGTGCTCCCAACTTGCACTGTTACAGTCCATAATGAATGTGGGGGCGAGGCTCATCTTCCTGTCCGCCTGCACCTCCCACGACTCACCCTTCTGTCAGTCCCTACATTGGCTTCCTATAAGATATAGAGCTCAATTTAAAATTCTGGTTCTTGCTTTCAAATCTCTACATAATGCTGCTCCCACCTATCTATCCTCCCTTATACACAAGTATGTCCCGTCTAGGCCCTTACGATCTGCTGAAGACTTACGTCTATCTTCTGTCCGTACTCCCACCTCTGATGCTCGCCTTCAAGATTTCTCGAGGGCTGCACCGTTCCTGTGGAGCCTCTCTGCCCCCCTAAATACAGCAAATTTTACCTTTATTGCAGTCTGCTGCTGGCTCTGTCCCTGATCTGACGGCTTGCCTGACATCATCAGACGTCTTGTTCTGCGCCAATCACAATGCTTTCATGTGATTGGCTGAGCTCGTCAAGGAGACAGATCGGGGCAGAGCCAGCACAAGTCAAACACAGCCCTGGCCAATCAGCATCTCCTCATAGAGATACATTGAAGCACTTCTTGATTTATTACTACTAAATAAACGATTTACAGCTTCCTTATGGCACAGACAGCTATTACAAACAACCATTTCTTCATCTTTTTCAATAAAAAGCCAGTAACTAAACAGGTCGTCATGTGTCCTCAGGAGATGTTTATTTTTAATATTATTAATCACGGGTTCAATTTCATGGTAATTCTGTGATGGTCACCTCCAAACAGAAAACCCACTAAACCTTCCATAGCATGTGTAGCCGGAGATATTTACCAGCTGGTAGTAGGATTTATCTAAGAAATCAGGTGTGCCATCTCACTAACCATGATTGTGTTATCCCACTGAAAGGCAGGTAACTCACCTCTATGTTGGGCAAAGTGATCGTCACCTGCTCACCTTTACCAACTTCCAGATCCCCTTCACAAGATGTATCGATAGATGCTGGTTTGAAATCGTCTAAAAACAACAACAAAATTTACCTTAATCACTTTAGGCCAAAAGGTGATAGATAAAGTAAAACAAATGTAAATAACTGATTTATTTTCTCCGTTTAGTACCTACATAGCTCCTAAGGCATAACTATGTTGTCTGGTTTAAATCCTAAAATGTACATTTCTGAGTCCTCTGTTAATAATAAACTGCTCAAGTTGAACTGAAATTTAAATAAACCACAATTATATATTTGCTATAAGAAAGTGTTCCCGCGAGACGTTGCACGTGTTAAAAGGGAAACATATGGGGCCATATATAGTAACAGTACGATTTACGTTATTTCCAGGCCTGCTAGCTTGGACAATCTTTTCGTCACTGCTGTTTGTATCGCTAGGGTCACAGAGGTACCAGCTTCAATCATTCCTCCAGCAGGGCTCAGTAAATGCTGGTTCATTCTACAGCAGGGCCGTCTGTAGGATTTCTATCAAATTCATTCACACACATTCTGGCAGCTGGAGCTCACATGGACCTAGCCGACAGGTCAAGAGATCAACCTGTCCCCAAGCCTGCAAGCAGCATGGAGAGCGAGAGCAAGGCTCTCTACATGAAGCGCTCTGATACCATCAAAGAGCGCTAAATACAATTAAACTCTCTGATGTGACAAGAACTCTAAATCCCCATACTGCCACGCTGCATACACAGCCTGTACGATGCACGGATCCTACTAATCCCAAACAATGAGAAATCAAAGAATGAACAAATGTTTTATTCCTTCTTCCTGTGCTGCCCCCCCCCCAATCTGTAACTTCACCCCTTCTTCCTGTGCTGCCCCCCCCCAATCTGTAACTTCACCCCTTCCTTCCTGTGCTGCCCCTCCCACCTGTAATCTCTACCCACTCCTTCCTGTGCTGCCTCCCAATCTGTGTAATCCTCACCTCTTCTTCCTGTGCTGCCCCCACCCAGGTAATCTCTCACCCCTTCTTCCTGTGCTGCCCCAATCTGTAATCTCACCCCCTTCTTTCCTGTGCTGCCCCCAATCTTGTAATCTCACCTCTTCTTCCTGTGCTGCTCCCACCTGTAATCTCTACCCCTTCCTGTGTGCTGCCCCCCAATCTGTAACTTCTCACCCCTTCTTCCTGTGCTGCCCCAATCTGTAACTTCACCCATTCTTTTCCTGTGCTGCCCCTCACCCAAAATTCACCCATTCTTCCTGTGCTGCCTCCCCACCTGTAATCTCTACTCCCTCTTTCTCTTCCCTGTGCTGCCTACCACCTGTAAATCTCACTCTTCTTCCTGTGCTGCCCCCATCCTGTAATCTCACCTTCTTCCTGTGCTGCCCCCAATCTGTGCAAATCTCACCCCTTCTTTCCTGTGCTGCCTCCCAATCTCTACCCCTTCTTCCTGTGCTGCCCCCACCTGTCTCACCCCTTCTTCCTGTGCTGCCCCCAATCTGTAACCCTCACCCTCTCTAACTGTGCTGCCCCTCTAATCTTAAAATCTCTACCCTTCTTTCCCATGCTGCCCCTAATCTGTAATCTCTTACCATAATTTCTTCCTGTGCTGCTCCTGTCTGTAAATCCCTACCCCTTCTTCCTGTGCTGCCCCCCCAATATGTAACTTTCAAATTTAAAGTGACTTTCTGAGTCAGTCTCTCCCCTGTCTCTCTCAGTCAGTCAGTTCGTTAGTCTCTCCCCAGTCTCTGTCTGTCTCTCTCTCTCTCTCTCAGGTCAGTCTCTCTCTCCCTCTCTCGCCTCGCTGGGATAGTCTCTCTCTCTCCCCCAGGCTGTGTCTCTCCCCAGGCTGTGTTCTCTCTCTCTCCCCCAGGCTGTGTCTCTCTCTCTCCCCCAGGCTGTGTCTCTCTCTCCCCCAGGCTGTGTCTCTCTCTCTCCGAGGCTCGCTCTCTCTCTCTCTCTCTCTCTCTCTCTCTCTCTCTCTCTCTCTCTCTCTCTCTCTCTCTCTCTCTCTCTCTCTCTCTCTCTCTCTCCCAGTCTGACTGTCTCTCTCTCCCAGTCTGTCTCTCTCTCTGTCTGTCTCTCTGTCTCTCTCTCCCAGTCTGACTGTCTCTCTCTCTCTCTCTCTCTCTCAGTCTGTCTGTCTGTCTCTCTCTCTCCCAGTCTGACTGTCTCTCTCACAGCGGATGGTGTGGAAGCCGCTCCGGGGATGTTTCTCGAAGCTCTCCCCCAGCCTGAGGATCCTCTCCCGGTTGTCAGACAGAGAGCCGGGGCCGCCATTCATCCTGCCGGCACAGGGAGCTCAGCCGACGGCCGGACCATCTGCTCTGAGCCGGAACCGATCATCCAATCAGCGGCGAGCTCCGGGGACCAGGGCGCCTGTTCATTGGTCAGAACGGAATTCCGCGGCGCTCATTGGTCAGCGCTCAGTGACGACACGCACCGTGCTCCCGCCCCCTCTCGGTCGGTGGGAGGAGCGTCGAGGCTGGTGGTAGCAGGAGCCCCGCCCCTCGCGCAGCTCTGACGTGTCTGACGGCCTTCCCAGCATGCACCGCTCCGGGCCTGGCCTGAACATAAAGCCTGGCTGGAGTTATTATCCGTTACTAGGCAACGGGAACCGGATGTAACCCTGGGGAGATCACCCGAACCGGGTGTGAAGGGTGAGTCACTCACCGAGCAACACCCACTCCATACCCACTCCATACACAGAGCCATACAGTATAATAACCGATACACCCACTCCATACACAGAGCCATACAGTATAATAACCGATACACCCACTCCATACACAGAGCCATACAGTATAATAACCGATATACCCACTGCATACACAGAGCCATACAGTATAATAACCGATATACCCACTGCATACACAGAGCCATTCAGTATAATAACCGATACACCCACTGCATACACAGAGCCATACAGTATAATAACCGATACACCCACTGCATACACAGAGCCATACAGTATAATAACCGACCCATACCCACTCCCTTTTAGAGCCATACAATTATAATAACCGATACACCCACACTGCATACACAGAGCCATACAGTATAATAACCGATACACCCACTCCATACACAGAGCCATACAGTATAATAACCGATACACCCACTCCATACACAGAGCCATTCAGTATAATAACCGATACACCCACTGCATACACAGAGCCATACAGTATAATAACCGATACACCCACTGCATACACAGAGCCATACAGTATAATAACCGATACACCCACTCCATACACAGAGCCATACAGTATAATAACCGATACACCCACTGCATACACAGAGCCATACAGTATAATAACCGATACACCCACTCCATACACAGAGCCATACAGTATAATAACCGATACACCCACTGCATACACAGAGCCATACAGTATAATAACCGATACACCCACTCCATACACAGAGCCATACAGTATAATAACCGATACACCCACTGCATACACAGAGCCATACAGTATAATAACCGATACACCCACTGCATACACAGAGCCATACAGTATAATAACCGATATACCCACTCCATACACAGAGCCATACAGTATAATAACCGATATACCCACTCCATACACAGAGCCATACAGTATAATAACCGATACACCCACTCCATACACAGAGCCATACAGTATAATAACCGATACACCCACTCCATACACAGAGCCATACAGTATAATAACCGATACACCCACTCCATACACAGAGCCATACAGTATAATAACCGATACACCCACTCCATACACAGAGCCATACAGTATAATAACCGATACACCCACTCCATACACAGAGCCATACAGTATAATAACCGATATACCCACTCCATACACAGAGCCATACAGTATAATAACCGATACACCCACTGCATACACAGAGCCATACAGTATAATAACCGATACACCCACTGCATACACAGAGCCATACAGTATAATAACCGATACACCCACTGCATACACAGAGCCATACAGTATAATAACCGATACACCCACTGCATACACAGAGCCATACAGTATAATAACCGATACACCCACTCCATACACAGAGCCATACAGTATAATAACCGATACACCCACTCCATACACAGAGCCATACAGTATAATAACCGATACACCCACTCCATACACAGAGCCATACAGTATAATAACCGATACACCCACTCCATACACAGAGCCATACAGTATAATAACCGATACACCCACTGCATACACAGAGCCATACAGTATAATAACCGATACACCCACTGCATACACAGAGCCATACAGTATAATAACCGATACACCCACTGCATACACAGAGCCATACAGTATAATAACCGATACACCCACTCCATACACAGAGCCATACAGTATAATAACCGATACACCCACTCCATACACAGAGCCATACAGTATAATAACCGATACACCCACTCCATACACAGAGCCATACAGTATAATAACCGATACACCCACTGCATACACAGAGCCATACAGTATAATAACCGATACACCCACTGCATACACAGAGCCATACAGTATAATAACCGATACACCCACTCCATACACAGAGCCATACAGTATAATAACCGATACACCCACTCCATACACAGAGCCATACAGTATAATAACCGATACACCCACTGCATACACAGAGCCATACAGTATAATAACCGATACACCCACTGCATACACAGAGCCATACAGTATAATAACCGATACACCCACTGCATACACAGAGCCATACAGTATAATAACCGATACACCCACTGCATACACAGAGCCATACAGTATAATAACCGATACACCCACTGCATACACAGAGCCATACAGTATAATAACCGATACACCCACTGCATACACAGAGCCATACAGTATAATAACCGATACACCCACTCCATACACAGAGCCATACAGTATAATAACCGATACACCCACTCCATACACAGAGCCATACAGTATAATAACCGATACACCCACTCCATACACAGAGCCATACAGTATAATAACCGATACACCCACTGCATACACAGAGCCATACAGTATAATAACCGATACACCCACTCCATACACAGAGCCATACAGTATAATAACCGATACACCCACTCCATACACAGAGCCATACAGTATAATAACCGATACACCCACTCCATACACAGAGCCATACAGTATAATAACCGATACACCCACTCCATACACAGAGCCATACAGTATAATAACCGATACACCCACTGCATACACAGAGCCATACAGTATAATAACCGATACACCCACTGCATACACAGAGCCATACAGTATAATAACCGATACACCCACTGCATACACAGAGCCATACAGTATAATAACCGATACACCCACTGCATACACAGAGCCATACAGTATAATAACCGATACACCCACTCCATACACAGAGCCATACAGTATAATAACCGATACACCCACTCCATACACAGAGCCATACAGTATAATAACCGATACACCCACTGCATACACAGAGCCATACAGTATAATAACCGATACACCCACTGCATACACAGAGCCATACAGTATAATAACCGATACACCCACTCCATACACAGAGCCATACAGTATAATAACCGATACACCCACTCCATACACAGAGCCATACAGTATAATAACCGATACACCCACTCCATACACAGAGCCATACAGTATAATAACCGATACACCCACTCCATACACAGAGCCATACAGTATAATAACCGATACACCCACTGCATACACAGAGCCATACAGTATAATAACCGATACACCCACTGCATACACAGAGCCATACAGTATAATAACCGATACACCCACTGCATACACAGAGCCATACAGTATAATAACCGATACACCCACTGCATACACAGAGCCATACAGTATAATAACCGATACACCCACTCCATACACAGAGCCATACAGTATAATAACCGATACACCCACTCCATACACAGAGCCATACAGTATAATAACCGATACACCCACTCCATACACAGAGCCATACAGTATAATAACCGATACACCCACTCCATACACAGAGCCATACAGTATAATAACCGATACACCCACTGCATACACAGAGCCATACAGTATAATAACCGATACACCCACTCCATACACAGAGCCATACAGTATAATAACCGATACACCCACTCCATACACAGAGCCATACAGTATAATAACCGATACACCCACTGCATACACAGAGCCATACAGTATAATAACCGATACACCCACTCCATACACAGAGCCATACAGTATAATAACCGATACACCCACTCCATACACAGAGCCATACAGTATAATAACCGATACACCCACTGCATACACAGAGCCATACAGTATAATAACCGATACACCCACTGCATACACAGAGCCATACAGTATAATAACCGATACACCCACTGCATACACAGAGCCATACAGTATAATAACCGATACACCCACTCCATACACAGAGCCATACAGTATAATAACCGATACACCCACTCCATACACAGAGCCATACAGTATAATAACCGATATACCCACTGCATACACAGAGCCATACAGTATAATAACCGATATACCCACTCCATACACAGAGCCATACAGTATAATAACCGATACACCCACTCCATACACAGAGCCATACAGTATAATAACCGATACACCCACTCCATACACAGAGCCATACAGTATAATAACCGATATACCCACTCCATACACAGAGCCATACAGTATAATAACCGATATACCCACTCCATACACAGAGCCATACAGTATAATAACCGATATACCCACTCCATACACAGAGCCATACAGTATAATAACCGATATACCCACTCCAT